TTAAGGCCATCACACACAAAATTACATAGACGCATATGCATAGCATAAGATAGTATGGACCAATAAGCATCGAATATTAAGTATCAATCATCAATATGGCCACTTAATATTCAATGCTCATTGAATGTCCATATGATCTTATGCTATGCATATGCGTCTATGTAATTTTGTGTGTGATGGCCCTTAATATTCGATGCTCATTGGTCCATACTATCTTATGCTATGCATATGCGTCTATGTAATTTTGTGTGTGATGGCCTTAATACATCTCATTTAGGGTACGTTCAGATTCCCTACCCGGGTGCATTCTAATACTAGAAGTGCTATAGTATATGTAACATATACTATAGTGTTTCTAGTAATAGAGTGCACCCGGGTAGGGAATCTGAACGCACCCTTAAGGGCTGCGTTCAGATTCCCCACCCGGGTGTATTCTATTACTAGAAGTGCTATAGTATATGTCACATATACTATAGTGTTTCTAGTAATAGAGTGCACCCGGATGAGGAATCTGAACGCACTCAAGGATTGGAGAATGGCGTATGGGGATAACCTTTTTCCCCGGAGCCATTACAGAACAGAACAGAAGCAGAGACTAATGAAAAAGAACAGACCTATTGAGAGTGACAGATTATAGAATATTTTACATTTTAATTGTTAAATAAGTATAAAATGGTTAGTTGTTGTTTATGTGGTTTTGCAAAAACAAAAGGACGTGTGAAAACATTTCATACGTAAGTATATAACATATTCTATTTAAAATTAAAAGCATAATTTGTAGGTTAACTTTGTTGTATCTTATGTATAATAAATGTTCAGCAGTTGTTTTAAGTTGTCTAAGTTAAAGTTGGATTATTCTTTTAAATTTAGAGGAATAATCTAATTTCAGCACAGATAATTTCAAATACTTGTAAAATAAACATTTTGCTGAAATGTAGTATTATTATGTAAAATGGGATATGTAAAATGTTATCACATAATATATATGTATATATATAAAATAGTATATATGTATAATCGAAATTGACACAATGGAACTATATGTTCTCGGCTTTTTTTTTAATTTTTAGATATAAAATGAATGGTAATCTTTGAGGTAGCTCTTTAAAGCCCAATGCATGATATTAATGCAATCGGTTTTTTACAATATTAACTTTATTCCATACGTTTCGGCCTCAATTTTTGGCCATTGTATTATACTGAAGCTACCATTCATTCTATATCTAAAAAATTATATATAATGCATTTTAATATAAATTAAAATATAAATGTTAATTATTAATGATTTAATTATAATTAATGTTATTTAATGTAATTTCCCAAAACATCCATTACAACAGCAAAAATGGATTGATTTTATGAATATGCCAAATTGGCAGCCACTACCAAACAGCAAATTATGCTCTGAGCACTTTAGTCCTAACTGCTTCGACAGATCCGGAAAAATCACTAAATTAATTAGTATGGTTGTTTCTACTATTAAGTTTGAAAGATTCAAACAGATATGTAAGCACATATATTGTAATTATAATAGATATTCATAATATGTTATCTATTATAATATGAACTAATTCATTAATGAATATATATGTTTTATAGATACAAAAACAGAAAAGAGCACACAAAATAACTATGCTTTCCGAAAAACCTATTATTGAAACTTATGTACTACAAGTAATGGTAAGTTTTATATACGATATAAAGCACCTATATGTATAACATTCATAATCAGTTTTTTTTTTATTTTAATTTATTTTAAGTTGGAAATTAGATTTTAAAGTAAATGAATAACATATATATATATATATATATATATATATATATATATATATATATTGTATATTATATATAAAATGTCTTATAAGAACATAAATTACTCAAAAACTAATAAGATATTTATTTCAGGAAGTAAATACTATTAATATGAATGAAGAGCCATTAACTTCTAATGAAATGTTGCAATCAGTGTAATAGCAAGCAAATAATCTTCCTAATACTTCAAGTAAAGAGAAGAATGAGTCTTCTTGGTCTTATTATCCAGAGCCAGATGATACTCCAAGAAAGTTATCTAAAAAGAAAAATTATGAGAATGGCTACAAATGAAAAGTTACTGAGAAAACAAATAACAAAATTACAAAAAGTGACATATCGACAGAAACGTCGAATTGAAAATTTAACATCTGTTTTCTCAAAATTGCAAAGAAATAGTATAATTACTTATAATGCTAAAGAAGTGTTGCTAAATTGTTTTGGTAGTAATAGAAATTTATTTTTAAATATATTTAAAAGAGCTTCATATAAGAATAAGAAATGCAAAAAAAAATATGAAGAAGATATTCGAAAATTTGCTCTTCACTATTTTTCACCAAGAGCATATAATTACGTCAGAAACATTTTAAATGGTGCATTACCTCATTATAAAACTTTAACGAAATGGTATAAAACTATTAATGGTGAACCAGGCTTTACTTCAGAATCTTTCGAAATATTAAAAAAAAAGATATAAGAATGTAGAAAAAAATATTTTTGTTCTCTCGTATTTGATGAAATGAGTATAAGACATTACGTAGAATGGGTGAATGATAAAGTATATGGACTAGTTAGTGTTGGAAATAATATTAGTGATGAAAATATTGGTTATGCCAAACAAGTTCTTGTTTTCATGATCGTTGCTATTAATGAATTATGGAAACTTCCATTAGCATACTTTTTTATAGATAGCTTAAATAGCAACAAAAAAGCTGATTTAATTAATAATTGTTTACAATTATTGAAAGATTGTCGAATTACTATCACAAATATTACGTTTGACTGTTGTCCAACAAATTTAATGTGGCGAAAATTCTTGGTTGTAAATTTGATTTTAAAACATGTTTAAGAAATCAAAATGAAAAAAAAACAGTGCTTGTTTTACAAACTAAAACAAGAAATGATAATCCTTTATTCATATTTCCAGATCCGGCACATATTATTAAATTAATTCGTAATACTTTTGGAGAAAAAAAAATTTTTTTGATGACCAAAATCAAGAAATTAATTTTAAATACCTTCAAAAGTTAAATGAACTGCAAGAAAAAGAAGGATTACATTTGTGTAATAAAATTACTAAACGTCACATAGATTTTTTTTAACAAAAAATGAAGGTCAAGCTAGCTACGCAATTATTAAGTAACTCTGTAGCAGAAGCTTTAATATTTTGTGCTGAACAATTAAAATTAGAGGATTTTAAAAATGCTGGTCCCATGATCAGATTTATTTCTATTATGAATAATGCATTTGATATATTAAATTCTAGAAAGATATCAGATTTTGATTTTAAACAAGCACTGTGTGAAAAAAATGTTGAAAAAGTTGAACAATTTTTTGAAAGTTTAACCGATTGTATAACAAAGTTGAAAAATTGTGAACTTTAATTTTAAATTGTAACCGAAAGACTGGATTTTTATGTTTGTTAATCTCTATGAAAAGTTTACTTAGTATTTATAAAATATCTATTGATAAATATAATCTATCGTTCATACCAGTATATAAAATGTCACAAGACCATTTGGAGTTATTTTTTGGGTCTATAAGATCTTGTGGAGGGTATAACAATAACCCAATTTGTCGACAGTTTATATCTGCGTATAAGAAAATATTAATCCGTGCGGAAATAAATGTAATTATTTAAAATTATTAAATTAATAAACAAATAAGAAATTCGAATCTTAGCAATGGTAAGCAAATTTTCAAAGTACAATTTACTTTAAATTAAATAGCGTGTGAAGCAATAAAATGGAAATTTAAAAAAAAATTCAGGAAAAGAGAAAAATGTATATAAATGTATATATTTTAATAAATATTTTTATAATATTTATGAGATATATATTTTTCATCTATTGAATCTGAGGTCACAAAAATATTTTGTAAATATATTTGTAAATATATTTATGAAATATTTTGGTAAATATTCATAAAATATTCAAATCTTATAAATATTTTGTGCTGTCTGGGTTAATGGATGAAAAGGATAGAGAACAGTAGTAATTGATGTAATATATTCAATAAATGTACGAAAATGTGTATTAAATATAGTCGAAATATTACAATCTTAACAAAGACATAACTGCTATATAACATTGAAGTAACAAAAGTACGTGTTACGTCTATGTTATATAACAGTAATATTTTGTGTTTGTTGGGATAATTGTAGTAAAAAATATGGAAAAATTCATTAATGAATTGTAGATCGATACTGCAAATGTGAGAGCTATTGAAGGTTTGTTTTTAATAACAGCATCTGAAATTAACTCTGAGGATTCTTTATCTTCTAATAACTGGCCATGTTCCATGTACTAAATCGATTTCAATTAATGACATTTTTTATATAATTTGATATTATTATTAGATTGCCTTTCTTTCTCACACAATTTTTATAAAAGCAATACTGATACATTACTGATTGGGACCCGACGACGGACATACGACGATCCAATAGCCAATAGGAAAATTTATTTTCTAGGGACAGTACATCATTAGCTAGTAACCTTAAAAAGTTCAATCTTGATGCATTCACGAGATGTATTCAGCTACATCTGATAAAAGAACGCAACCTTAGCGATCTAATATATATAGACATCTGTGGGTGCGCATCAAATTTAATACGCATACTAACGTTTTGACGATGGGTGCTTTCCAGTTGCAATATTTCTAGACACTTTCATGTACACGGCGACACAAGTTGCATTCCAATTGTCGTAATCGTCGACCCAACACTACACATCCGTGCTCAGGGCAGCGATCATGTAACTTTTCCCCTAGGGCGGAAACGTGAAAAGTGAAAAGTTTCTCGTGAACTCGTGATCACGTAACTCGGCGAAACGTGGAAACGTGAAACTTTTCATGTGAACTTGTTAGCCATGAAAGGGTGCGTTCAGATTCTCTACCCGAGTGCACTACTAGAAGTGTATAATATATGTAACATATACTATAGTGTTTCTAGTAGTAGAGTGCACTTGGATGAGGAATCTGAATGCAGCCAAATGTGCTGGCGAAAAAGTGAAAATCTAGTGACATGATGAATGCGGAATATATTATGCTATTGCTGTGATGAGATACATGGAACATAACAATCCTAAGGTTATAGCGATGTTTTTAAAGTTAATATGTTCTACAGCCGATGGATATAGCTGATTTGGCCGATATTGAAATCATATAGGAACCATGTTTAGTGATTTGTGCTTTTCACGCATAGAGTTACTTGATTGCGTCAACAATGAAAAAGTTCACGTGAAATCGATAGAGCGAATAGTGAAAAGTGAAAAATTCTGCTCGAAGTTACGTGATTGCTGTCCAACTCGAGGGCTAGTAGTCAGCTGTGTAACTAGTGTTTTCTAGTGACAATTAAAATTAATAAGCATTGTGGCTTGAGAAAAGATTGGCATTTGCGACATGAAGTGGACAATATCTTTTTTATTATTTAGATCTTATTATTTATTATTAAAAAATACTAAGGTATGTCTAGGTATAGCTTCTGGAATGGAGCCGTGTCTTGAATCAGCGAATACTAAGGTATGGGCATGTTGAAAAATAATCCTAACCCTACCCGACATATATACACATTAGTACATACTTTGTTCTAGAGACACTATAAGAGAGACTGGACTAGAGATGTCCGATTCTTAATCGATTCAATTCTTTCCCTAACAAATTTAGGGAAAAAGGGTTGTTCGAGCTGCTTGCATGTTTCATACTTTTCGTTTTTAAAAAGAGATGGACGCCTAATTAGACGCTTGGAAGAAACAATCGAGTTGGTTGTCTCGTTTTTGCTTCTTCGAAACATTCCAATATACTTCTGTCTACTTTTAAATACGAAAAGTACGAAGATTGCAAACAACACGAATAAGCCTATTTTTGGGGAAAGAATCGAATCGATTCAGGGCAGCGATTACATAACTTCGAGCGGAACTTTTCACTTTTCACTTTTCGCTCTATCGATTTCACGTGAACCTTTTCATTGTTCACGCAATCAAGTAACTCTATTGCAGGATTCACACCGCGTCCGATATCCGATGTACGACGTCCGATATCCAATAGGAGAACAGCTTTCTAACATAGAATTCAATTCTCCATTGGAAAACTGTTCTCCTATTGGATATCGGACGTCGTACGTCGGGGGTGTATATCAGTTGGACACGGGGCAATTGGACACAGTCCAATCACAAGTCGCTGTTCCAAGGGACCCTACAAATGTCTCTAATCACACGGTGCTGTGATTGGCTGTGTCCAAATGCACCGTGTCCAAGTGCACCGCTCCCGTCGGACATCGGACGCGGTGTGAATCCTGCATATGCGTGAAAAGCACAAATCACTAAACATGGTTTCTATATGATTTCAATATTGGCCAAATCAGCTATATCCATCGTCTGTAGAACATATAACTTTAAAAACATCGCTATAACCTTAGGATTGTTATGTTTCCTCTATTTCATCACAACAGTAGCATAATATATTTCGTATTCATCATGTCACTAGATTTTCACTTTTTCGCCAGCACATTTCATGGCTAACAAGTTCACGTAAAAAGTTTCACGTTTCCACGTTTCGCCGTGTTACGTGATCACGAGTTCATGTGAAACTTTTCACTTTTTACGTTTCCTAGGGGAAAAGTTACATGATCGCTGCCTAGAATCGAGCATCTCTAGGGCTGCGTTCATATTCCCCACCCGGGTGTATTCTATTACTAGAAGTGCTATAGTATATGTCACATATAGTGATTCTAGTAATAGAGTGCACCCGGATGAGGAATCTGAACGCACCCTAGACTGGACATGAGACCCATCTGCCATGTTTATGCTAAATCCTGCGAGGGAGAAAAACATATACACTATTTCACTCTAACACTCTCATAGTTTGCTCTTTTCATCTATACTACTGCACTACACTACTACACTACTGCACTAGTGTAGCTAAGTACTTATGATGTGAGATTAGGACTGC